GTTGTTGCATCAGGTCCACCTGTATCCTTGTCTGTTTATGTGCCCCTTTCTCCTCCCCTGCTTGGCACAGTGGTATCCACATGTCACCATCTCACTAATGGTGACTGTGGACCCCACTTAGTTCTGAGTTCCTTTGCCCTGGCCCAGTGTCCTCTTAGGCCTCTTATGATCTAGCTGCCTCTTCAGACTTAGCAATTTGGGGCCTTAAATATATTATGCTTTTAGTCCTTAGGCATACCAAACTCCTTTCAGGACTGTGGCTCTTGGTACAAACTCTCTAGCCCCCTTGCCAGGAATACCATCCTCCTGTTCTGGCTGGGCTGAATCTGGGTGCCCTTTAGTCCTTGCTTAAATACCCTCCTCCTCTTTCTCCTCTTCTTCCTTCTCTTCCTCCTCCTCCTCCTCCTCCTCACTTCTCCTCAGTTCTCAGAGGAGGCAGTGTCCCTGGCTGATGCTTTTCCTGGTTGTTTTTTCCCCCCTCTTCATAGTGATAATCATACATGGCAATTATTCTATTAATTTTTAGACATCTACTCCCACACCACATGGTAGGGTGGCTAAGAGGGCAGGCCCCTGTCAGCCTTGTTTATTATTTTGTTCCTGGTGTCTAGCAGGGATTATGTCCTAAGCAAACATTATTGAATGGATGGCATTGTTCTTCCCAGTTGGATGCCTAAGTTTTCCTTAACAGTGATGCACTTGAAGAAAGCAGTTTTACTCTACAACAAAAGGGCCCTCCTGGGTATGCTTTGGGTGAAGTTCATTTAAATCAGGTGCTTAAAAAAATGTCAGCGTGAAGCCTGGCACCAGTGGCTCATGCTTGTGATCTTGCTCCTTAGGAAGCTGAGATCTAAGGATCTCAGAAGCCAGCCTGGGCAAACAAATCTGAGAGACTCTTATCACCAGTTAACCCTCAATAAACCAGAAGTGGGAGTGTGCCTTAAGAAGTAGAGTCAAAAAAGCTAAGCCAAGAGCACAAGGCCTTGTGTTCAAGACCCAGTACTGGTGCGTGCCAGCACACACACACACACACACACACACACACACACACACAGTGATTACAAATATGGTAATCCTTTTTCTAGCGTAAATGGATGTTTTAAGAGACTCATTTTATCTATTAATATTAAGGGAGATATGAGAATAAAGTTATCTTTTTGCACCAAGGGGCCACCAGGTCATAATAATCCCATAGAATATATGCTCATTAGTTACTGGAAGGCTGGCAAGGACTTTAAAGAAATTTCTTACTTAAGCCCAGAATTTAACAAATCTACAAATGTGTATAGCAATTTTAGTAGTTGTAGCCTCTAAAGAATATTGTCTTTCAACTAGGTTAGAACTCAAATCAATATTATTAAGAAGTAAATACAGAAATCAAACTTGAAATTAGCAGTTTTAAAAGCGACACCCTTTTACACAGTCATATTTTTAAATCCCCATCAAAATTCTGAAAGCTGCCACATTCCTGACCTTTGATGCTCAGCAGACCACAGAAAGGGACAGAAAACCTTCATGATCAGCGCCGTGTCCCCAGAACTGAGGTTTACCTGGCTGAGCCTCAGACCAAGTCTTGTCTGCTGACTCAGCTTTGCTTGCTGGGCAAGGAACAAGTTGTTGCAACTTGTCTGGTCTGAGCCAGCCAACCAGATTCAAGGAGGGACTTGTGTACTCTGGCATCATCTAGGAATAGCCTGGATGGCTTGTTAAATTCAGGTAGTGTAAACTCAGTAGGCAAATAACTCACACCCACATGCGTGCTTGTATGTGTGTGTGTGTGTGTGTGTGTGTCCATGTGTACAGGGCTGTGTGGTAAGCCAAGGGTTAAAGTGGAGCTGTTTATCCTCAGAACACCTTGGGGAGCTGGGGGCTTTTCTTACTGCCAGAATTTTCTTACTGCCTCCTGACCTCTGCCTGTCCATTATTCAGCCTTTAAACCCTCCTGCACATCACCCTCTCTTTCAGTACTGTTTGCCCTCTCCAGCTCCCACATCAGTGAATGCAAGACTAAATCTGAATTGATGATAGGAATTTACTGTACTTTATTTAATCAGTCCACTACTGGTGGAGGTTCATTTTCTTCCCAGCAGTTACTCACACCTTAACCCCCTAGACCTGTGACTGTGGCCCAGGAGGCTTTGGGATCAAAGACGATCATGTGGGAGAGTAGCCTGTGCTATACGCCTGGGCCTAATAGACTCCACCACAGTGCTGCTCATGAGAGGGAGAGAGTGGGCTAAGGTCAGGACCAGGACGGCAATGTCAGTCTCTGTGAGGCTAGGTGAGGAGATGGATGAGTCAAAGAGGTGGACTGTACCCCAGACCCCAAGGAAAACCAGCCTTTTGCTTGCATTGTATCTGCAGGACCTCCAGAACTGCAAGGCAAAGCTTGTATTGTTGTAAACCACTTGGTGGGTGGCCATTTGTTATAGCAGTAATAGAAACCTTGCTTTTTTTTTTTTGCTTTTTATAAACAATTGTAAAGGAGGTTGGAGGGGAGGGGTGGGAGTAACTCTTGGGTTTCACTTTTTTTTGGGGGGGGTCTGGTCGTGGGGCCTGAACTCTGGGCCTGGGCACTGTCCCTCAGCTCTTCAGCTCAAGGCTAGCACTCTACCACTTGAGCCACAGTGCCACTTCTAGCTTTTTTTCTTTTTGCTTATGTGGTGCTGGGGAATCGAACCCAGGGCCTCATGCATGCAAGGCAAGTGCTCTACCACTGAGCCACCTTCCTGTGAAGTTTAGTATTTGTATCCTGTTAAGTTACTCCAGTTTGTGTTAGTTGTCTATCTTTGTAACACCTGATGTCATTTATAAAGAGCAAAGGGTTGTTTTAGCTCCTGGGTGTAGGGCTATTTGTAATAGGCCTTTCCCAGGGCTCCAAATGGCAATATTGGGGAACATTCACCTTGTGGCTAGGGAGCAGCAAGGAGGGACTCAGGTTCCACAATCTCCTGAAGCAACACCTCAAATAACTCAGGGACCCCACTAGGTTCCACCCACTAAGTCTTCTACTACCTCCTGACAGTGCCACCCTGTGGATGGAGTTAACACATGGGCCACGCAGGAGAGGAGGGAGCCGGGGGGGGGGGGGGGGGGCGGGGGGGGGGGGGGGGGAGGGAAGGATGCAGCATCCAAACTACAGCATGCTACAGAGACTGCCAGTGTGCAGTTCACACTTCCAGTGATAGGCATTTATGTCTTTTCTCATAGCCCCTTCACACGGTATATTATTAAACCTGAACTTTGTACTATTTTCCTAGTGAAAATTCCTATGTCTTTGAGCATCTCCATTATTAGGAACTTTTCCTCTGTGCGGCATGTTACAATCTCCTCCAGAGCCAGGACTCAATCTTTATTGCTGTTCTCTGTTCTTTACCTTCTTGGCCTTCCTGTTAGCTTACACAGCCTGGGTTCTCTGCATGTATCCAATATATCCAAAGTTTCCTATGTCACAATAGTGGATAAGAAATGTGTCAAACACATTCCATCCATCATTATTCCTACCACCTTCTGTTCATGAAAATAAAATGGATGCTGGGGTGCCAGTGGATCATGCTTATAAATCATAGCTGCTCAGGAGGCTGAGATCTGGGGATGGAGGAAAGAAAATCCACAAAGCTCTTATCTTCAGTTATCCATCAAAGATCCAGAAATAGAGTTGGGCTGAAGTGGTAGAGCACTATCCTTGAGCAAAAAAGCTCAAGGACAGGGCCCAGGCTCTGAGTTCAAACCTCACTACCGGTGCGCACGCGTGCACATGCGCACACACATGCACACACACGCACATACACACACACACACAGGTTCATTTACCTCGATCAGAATGGCCTTATCACAGTTTTGGATTAGTAGTGATGCAGAAATAATGTTGGCTCCTGATATAAAGTGGAATTAACAAGCAGGGTGTGGCTCTGTTCCCTGTCACTGGGCCCCAGCTAGCTCTTGTATATGGTCCCTACCAAGGTCAGTATATCCCAGGCTTCATGATGTCACCACCTCTTAACCAATTATTTGCACATGAGGTACAGTCTGTTTGTTTTATCATTTAGAAAACCACCTGCACTGAACTGAAGTGTTTTTCCAATGAAAAATGAACCATAAATGGAAACTCCTCCCCTCTCCTTAGCTTGGAGATCAATAGTACATTCTTTGGTTTCTTGTATATTGACACAGCCAATTTTTTTTGAGGCATTATAACATGAGGGAAAGAGAACAATTATTACCTTAAACAATGGCAACTTCACTGCTTTTGGTAGCCTGGCTGGTTTGAGGCTTAAGTTGGTATAGTAAAAGTACTAATCAAATATTCTGGTTAATAACTGGAGCCTTAAGCCAAAATATTTAACTCCAATAGAAGCTTCAAAATGATTTCCAAGGAATCACAAGACTTAATGAACTATGTATCCTAGGACTATGAAAGAAAAATATCTACCCCCACCAAGCCCAGTTCTTACAGTTTTTGTTTCCTGAAAGGGCAAAGAGGGAGAGGCAGAGATGAAGTCTCTAAGGGAGTCCTCTGATTTCTGTCCCCTGCTGTGCAGAACTGGCAGAAACCCTGATAGAAGATTCTACAGGCACACTGGTGCCCCCCCCGGCCCCTTGCAGAGCATACACCCGTCACGGTGGCTGCTGCCTGACCTCTGAACCTTGCTTGTGTTGCATCAGCCTGTGAGTGGCAAGTGTCACACATCCTGGTGCTCAGTGAGCTCTGTGCTCGAGTCAGTTGTCAGATGGTGACTCGATTGCATGGCTGGTGTGCAGGCTGGCGTGCCACAGCTGTTTCTACTAAAACTTTCTCCTGATAAGTCACTGCCACCAGTCCTTCCAACTGGCATCTGTTTGCTGTGAGTTAATGTTAGATAAAGATGGATTAATTTGCAATTGTGACAGTGCCAGCAGCCATCACAGTCCAGCTAGGTAGTGTGGATGGAGAGCATCAAGCCCAGGTTGCTGTGTACTGGCTCTGGGTTTGGGGATGAGTGGCAGCCCCTGCAGTCAGGGGCCTGTGAGGCCTACTTTGCAGGATTCTTGGGAAGGCTCACAGAGGCCTTTATCTAGGCCTTTGAATAATTTACTCTGTGTACACACTGTGATTACATTTCTTCCTACGTGGTTGGGAACATATTTCAGGGCAGAGCCTCAGAAATAACTTTGGCTGTAACAAAGCAGTCAAAATACAGTATTTGAATAGAGACAAACAAAAGATGAGTGGGCCTGAGTATGCCTGCTTATAATTGAAAGGTAAATCAATAGGAAAGGGAAGGTATTTCTAGGTTCACGGTGAAATAGAAGGCCAGGAGGATTACATGAATTTAAACCCCAGTCCCTTGAAGAGAAGGAATGGCCAGCTACCATTTGCTCTAGAAAATATTCAGAAGCTGACTTTCAACATCATCAGCCTGATCTTGGGGGTAAGAATGCAGCTTCTCTGCCCTGTGACCCAGCAGAGCTGGGTTTAAGCTGAAAGGGATCCTTTATCTTTGAATCACAGGGACTGTAGAACTTTAGCCAAGCCTGGAGGTAACCTTGGTTAAAACTAAACTAAGGGCTTCAAAAAGGATCCTCCTTTGTGAGATACTGGAGTTCAAATGAGTCCAAAGTGTGTAAACTAGTTCACCATGAGACCTTCAAGAGAGCCTTTTCACAGAATTGTATTATTTTCTATTTTCCACTTGTTTCTGACCCCATTTTTTGCTTCTAAATTGTTTTCTCTTGAGAATATTCATTCCTGATTCTTGTTTCTGTCAATAATAATTCTGGAAATCCTGGAACTAAAATACCATGACTTTTCATGATGGGTTTAGACTTTAGTTGAGCTCTCTTCAAAATTCCTCCATCAAAGGATACTTACCTGCTTGGTAATGCCAGGCAAGATCTGGGCTTGGGTACTAATTCCTGCGTCTTGTCCTCTGTCTCTGATTTTAGATGTCGTATTTATTTTGATGTCTTATGTTTTTGTTGGGTTCCTTTACATTGTGAAACATAGCATGTAATCTCAGGCTGTAGTGAAGAAAGATATGACATACAGAAGAATTCAGTGGTATACTTTGTTTTTTTCTTTTCTGGACTTATTGCAAATCTGGAAGGCTCAGCTGATTTGATTTATTGTAAAGCAGGAAAATGTCCTAGATAGGAAAATTTTATTCCATGTTAGGAAACAATAGGGGCCACCTGGTCGAGATCACTTAACAGATAGAAAATTAAGCAAAAAAGAATGTATGTACATAGTGAAAATGTTCTTTTTTTGGGGGGGGGGTCTGGTCGTGGGGCCTGAACTCTGGGCCTGGGCACTCTCCCTCAGCTCTTCAGCTCAAGGCTAGGGCTCTACCACTTGAGCCACAGCGCCACTTCCGGCTTTTTTTCTTTTTGCTTATGTGGTGCTGGGGAATCAAACCCAGGGCCTCATGCATGCAAGGCAAGTGCTCTACCACTGAGCCACCTTCCCAGCCCCTGAAAATGTTCTTAAAGTAAAAGCTTGCCACACATCTCTGGTCACCTTGAGATCACCTGGTTGTTAAGGTGTCTCTATTAAGAA